AACCGAAATTAAAGCAGGGAAGAAATTCTATTGTTATAAAGGAAATTGCACAAATTGGCTCTATTTTGAGAATGCCACGTATGAGGAGGAAGGCTATAGATGCTGAATTGTCAGCTTCTACTTTTGAACACTTAATTAGTGTGAGAGATGCGCTGGGTTGTTTAACAGATAAGGAGAAAGCTATGGGAGTTCAAAATTCTCAACATTCCGTGGAGATTGGTGAACAGATGAACAGCCATGAGATGGTTATGGGTGAGGTGGATACTCACATGAATGATGATGTTAATAACTGCGGCGGGGACGCTTCCCCTTTGTTGAATCATGTTTAACATCATATGTTGGAATTGTAGAGGTGCTCGTAAGAAGGAGACGGGTAATTACTTACGGCACCTAATAAGGGAACATAATGTTAGTTTTATTGGTTTATTGGAGACTAAGATGCAGTCCTTTGATAGAAAAGATGTGGACAAGTTGGCAGGACGTGAATGGGAATTTGTTTTTCAACCGTCCATTGGCAATGCAGGGGGCATCCTAGTGTTGTGGAAGAGTAGTGATCTTTCCTTTCTTGTTTCTTTTCAAGCTAATCAGTATATCATGGGGAGGTTAAAGATTACTGATAGAATTGATTGGGAAGTACCTCTGGTTTATGCTAATAAGGATAGACATACCAGGAGGATTGTTTGGGATGATATTTCCAAAAACCATACGATGGGGGTTCCATTGTTGGTTGGTGGAGACTTCAACTGCATTATGGCACAGGCAGAGAAGAAGGGGGGTAAAGCTTTTCATTTTTCCCCAGCTGCAGGTGATATGGCTGATTTCATGTTGACTAATGACCTTGTTAATCCTGGATTCATTGGTCCTAGTTTTACATGGACTAACAACAAGGATGCTAGGAGTCGTATTTTTTCCAGGTTGGATCGTTTTTTGGTGAGTTCTTCTATTCTTGATGTGTTCCAGGGATTGAAGGTTAAGCATCTTACCAGACTTGCTTCAGATCACTGCCCTATTCTTTGTTGTTTGATGGAAGATGTGAAGAAGGCTTGCTACCATTGGATTAAATTTGAAGATGTGTGGGCCAGCTACCCTTTTGCTTGGCATTTAGTGGGGGAGAAGTGGAAGGTGGAAGATCTGGGCAGTGAATCCTTTAAGCTTCAAAGGAAATGCCAAAGGTCTTTGAAGGCTTTGTTCTTTTGGAGTAAGAACAAGCTTAAGAGCGTTAATCAATTAAAGGAAGACCTTGATAAAGAAATTAAGATTTTACAGGAGATTGAATGTGGGTCGAGTGGTCTTTCTGAGGTGCAGGAAGAAGCATTGAGGTATAAGGTTAAATTGTTGAATAATACTCTCACTCGTATTATGACTTGGTGGAGAAAAAGAGCAAAGGTGTTGTGGATGGAGCATGTGGATGGGAATATCCACTTTTTCCATTCTATGGCATAAGCTAGGAGGAGGTGTAAGAGCATTGATTCCATCAAGCTGGATGACGGGTCACTGATATCTGAGCAAGGTGATGTCTCTATGGTGTTCTACAAGTTTTTTCAGCTTAAATGGTAGGGGCAGTCAATTGTGGAGGACGGGTGGCCTTCTTTGGAAATTCATAGGAGTTGTGTTGCAGAATTCAAAGACTTCCTGGAAGGTGATGTTACTGAGGAAGAAATATGGTCAGTTATTTGTTCCTTGGGCCGGAATAAGGCGCCTAGGAGAGATGGAGTTACTGCTTCATTTTTCAAATTCTTTTGGA